GTATGATGTTCTTTTTATGAAATGCTGTGTTGGTTTTACGCCAGATGTAACGGGACACACACCTTCCAAAAAGTTAAACTTTTGTCTCATCAGTCCACAGAATATTTCGCCAAAAGTCTTGGGGATAATCAAGATATTTTTTGGCAAATGTGAGACGAGCCTTTGAGTTCTTTTCGGTTAGCAGTGGCTTTTGCCTTGGAACTCTCCCATGGATGCTGTTTTTGCCCAGTCTCTTTCTTATTGTTGAATCATGAACACTGACCTTAATTGAGGCAAGTGAGGCCTGCAGTTCTTTAGATGTTGTTCTGGGTTCTTTTATGACCTCCTGGATGAGTCGTCGTTGTGCTCTTGGGAGTAATTTTGGTAGGCCGGCCACTCATGGGAAGGTTCACCACTGTTCCAAGTTTTCTCCATTTGTGGATAATGGCTCTGACCGTGGTTCGCTGGAGTCCCAATGCCTTAGAAATGGCTTTATAACCCTTTCCAGACTGATACATGTCAGCTATTTTGTTTCTCATCTGTTATTGAATTTCTTTAGATCGTGGCATGATGTGTTGATCTTTAAGCATGCTTCACTTTGTCAGACAGGTTCTGTTTAAGTGATTTCTTGATTCATCAGGTCTGGCAGTAATCAGGTCTGGGTGTGACTAATGAAATTTAACTCAGCTTTCTAAAATAATGTGGTTAATCACAGTTCTTTCATGATTTAACAGGAGGGGGCAATTCATTTTTCACGTAGGGCCAGGTTGATTTGGACAGCTTTTTTCCCTTAATAAATGAAATAATTTAAAAACAGCATTTTGTATTTACTTGCATTATCTTTGTGTAATATTAAAATTTGTTTGATGATCTGACTCTTTTAAGTGTGACACATATGCAAAAACATTTTTAAATAACCTTTTCATGGCACTGTACATAAACACAGGGCTAGTTCATGTTCAGGTACCCAATAAAATTTTAATTTATTTACAATTATCAAGTCAAGTCACCTTATTTCTATTATAGCACTTTATACGGTACAGCATGTCAAAAAATAGCTAACTTAATTATGGAAACATTTTAGATTCTTCTGTAAAGCAGCTCTAAAAACAATAGTGTCAATATTCAGATCAAGTCAGTTCAGTGTTGGTTTAACTCAGACAGGGCTGCACATAACCCGTATTTTAATCATGATCACGATTTCTTCTTCTCTCAATTTATAAAGCATAATTGTCATTTATATTTGCCGGCTGGTTTTTTATCCTGAAACGCATTATGCATTTGGCAGACGCTTTTATCTAAAGTGACTTACATACTTTATTAGTTCCATCAGTGCCATGCTTTACTGGCAACAGAAATTAATTTTAAAAAATGTATTTGTTATCTTTAACAATCTCAGACAGAAAACATTTATTTTATACTTTTCCCCCCCAGATCCAGGCCTTTAATGTCCAGTCCAACAAGTTTGCTTCAGCAAGCGACTGTGCAACCTTCTTCACTCCAGCAATCTTGATGGGCCTGATCACCTCTCTGATTCTGCTGCTGGTGTTGGCCTACGCCCTGCACATGGTCGTTCACCTCAAGCACATTGACCGTTACGAAGAGCACAAGACCACCGTCTACTTCCCCCGCACCCCCGAGGCCGAGCTCCCAGATAAGAACAGCGTGTGAGGAGTGACGACGGTGCTGTAAAACCAGCAAAAGACCAGTGTGGAAAGGATTGCTAGTTCTGATTCTGGATGGCTGCATTGTCCTCTTGGTCTTCCTCCTGCCTGGCACTAAATCCTCTACTTATCATTGTCTTAACCTAACTTCTTACAGTCAGAGGATGAGATTACCTGATCAATCAGGTGTTAAAACCCAGGCTGGAGCCAAAACCTGGACAGATCACGGCTTTCCAGGACCAGGACTGGGAAGCCTATGAAATGGGGACAAAAAATGTGAAGATTGCCTTTTAATAGACCACCATTCTGGCGGACTTTTCAAAGCACTTCTCTGACTGGATACAAGTACTGTGGTTAGAAATATACAAATTGACAATGCGGTGGTGGCAGAAGAGAAAAGACTGTGAAACAGAAATGACTGTGGTTTGATATGGAAGTCTTCTGGGTTTTTTATTTACAGTAATTCATAAATCACCATCTCATGCATCAGAAATGGAGTCCGTAGACTGATCTGCCTATTACAAGAACTGTTTTATGACTGCCAAAGTGGTGCAAATCTGTTTGTCGGCCTCGATGGGTAACTGACAGTAATAATGTGAATACGAAACATACAAAACAAACCATAAATGTACAGTGCTTAATACTATTCCAGGACTATACAACATAGATTCAGGAACTCCATAAATATACTCATTGGCTTTAAACGATCAGCTAGATATTCATATAGATCTAGATTCAACTGCTGTTTTAGTAATTAACAAATTTCCAGTATTAAGCACCTTCAAATATAAATATTAAGTGCGTAAAGCGTATAGTAAGAAAAATACTTTTTTAAAGCTTCGGAAACAGATATATTGCACAGAAATGTTTTTATATGCCGTCCCTTTTCAGGTGGAATATATTAGGACTAATAGATGAATTTAGCACCCCTTGAGAATTTATAGTACAGACAGTATAACTATAGTGAGGTAATGCTGAAAGAATGCTGTACAATTATTCATGTAAGTGTTTAATACCCTCAGTATCATAATCAGTATACCTCTATATCTACAATTATAACATCAGTAACTCATTATCACAATAACCTGCAGCATGACAATGACTAGAGATAAACCTCTACCATGGCACGTCTGATATTGGAGGTAGTAATGTGTAATGTGTTCATTTGAATGACGGTCGTACACACTCAAGTGCACAAGAAGTTTCCTGAACGTCAGTCAATTCAGTCTGAACAATAAACAGTGATCAGATCAAAACAGTGCATCACACTTTTATATCTTCAATGGTTGAGAAACGTTGCATGCCTTTTCTGTATTGTTCTCTATTACGGTAAACGGTGGTCGTGGCCACACAGACTGCTGGTGTAGGGATCACTGCTGTCTTTCTAGCCCACCTCATGCTGGCTGTCTGCAACGGCCCTGTTTTTTGTGGCGAAAAAGCAGCAACCCCCTTCTGTCTTGATTTTTTCCTGCCCTTTGTGCCATCTGCTCTCCTCTCACACTTCTCAGCAGGAGCCTGCGGCGCTGCCCTCTTACCGGGACAGTTTACCTGTCTGCCTTCGAAACGAACTTTACTCACACATGCACTACTTTCTGCGTCGCTAACTCTCACAGCATTGTGTGTGTTTTCCTGTAGGGTCTAACGGCCTCACAGCTGGCTTTAGTCTGGCTTTGTGATACATATACAAACAGTATCATGTTGGTTTAGTCATGGCTGAGTGCTGCTTACTAATGGTTTTTTTCCTTAATTATTTACTATTATTCCATGGCACTCTGCTATACTTGATTCTGATTGGTTAATTCATCATCCATGGCTCCTTTTATATTTCTCCTATCACTCAGCAAACTTCTGTTACATACAAACACAACTATTCAGTTATCAAATAACCTCATCGGTATTAATATCACTGTTGTTGCAGTGTTTGTCTTGTTGCAAGGCTGATAATTTTGTACATTGTATATTGGACTATTTTCGTTAGCGGAAGCATTGAGATAATATAAAGGTAAAATTATAAAATAATTCTTAAATCAATATTTCATCATATCCACTTATTTATTTTCTTTTTTTGGCAGTAGCAGTGTAATATTCGGGATCATGTACAATCAGCTGGATATTATCACAAAATAAACCCCAACACTTTCGTCTGCACCTGGGCTCTAGATTCCTATTAATGATGATAGACAATTCGATTTTTGAAGAGGCCTTATGATCAAAAGATATAAAAATAATAATAATAATTATTATTATTATAATTAAAAAGGTAGATATTTCCTTTGTATGTCATTGAAGACATACTGATTCAACATATAAATCTTGTTGAAATTTCAACATTAATTTATAAGTATTTTGTTAACCTTTTTAAAATCATTAAATGTTGTTTCAATGTTTAAAAAAAACCTATAAAAGTATTAAGTATTAGAGAGTATAAAAAGAAAATGGGAGTGATAGAGAAATAGTCTAATCTTCTTAATCTAGCCTACAAAACACTGAATTATTCAGGCACTTGAGGCCCATTTTTAGATTCAAATTTTAGACAAACTCAGCTTCATTTTGTTGTCATTAAAGCTTCTGGATGCTTATATCGCAGGGATTTATGACCATGACTCATCCCTTTCAAGGATTCAAGGTTATAGTGATGGCACTGGACAAGGTCACTTCAAGCCGAGTGATATTCTCCGCTGGTGATCGGGTCTGATTTTTCTCAGTCCATCTTGTGCAGTCAGCACTTACGTGGGCAAAAACTATGAATGAGACAGGTTTGCTCTGTCGACATGACAACAAAGGAGCGATCCATACAAACACTTTCAGTCTTTCTCTGAGCAGGGCAAACTCTCTTAGTTCCACATCAGTTGCCTTGTCGGTCAAATTTAGAAAAAGTAGCCAGCATAAGTCAGCCTGAATCTATCTATCTGACAGTTTAATAGATCTGAAGCCATTCTGTAGCCTTAAATGCCAGATTTGTCAACATTTATATATAAGGTCACACATTTTTTTACATTTGATGGTGTTGACCCATATCAGTTGATAGCCAATCAATTACAATTATCTGAGAAAATGGAAGCAGATTCATGTAAAATAATAACTTCATACTTATTTTATGAATAAAAACATCAGTGTTGTTTACATCTCGATACCCTCTAAACTACTAAATAAATATGTGACCATAAATAAATGCATGTAGTTGTTAAGGATCAGGGGTGTATTTTGCATGTTTACTTTTATGTTCACCTTCAAATGATCGGCGTCACTAATCACTAATACTATAATTTATCAAATCACAGTGCTTTGGTTGGCATTTGGCACTGATGCAAGCACGAATGACCACTATTGTTAACCGTTTTTACATAAGAGACGCCCTAATGAGTGAGACAATGGGCCTGAGTGTATTCTACCATGCAGCTGCAGCCTCTTTTCAGATGCCTCAGGACGCTTGTCTGCCCATGTGAGCGAGACCTCCAGACCACCACCTCCAAGGGGGCGTCACCTGACGACGCATGCAAATAATTTCCACAAAGAAAACAACCCCTCAGAGTACAATATACTTCAGCAGCGCTTCTATGTCGTATTCTTTTCCAACCAACCGTTTTGCTGTCTGGTTTTGTCAGGTGAACCCCCAGACACGGTATGTAGATGCGTCGATGCCCCCCGCGCTTCAGAATGGACTCGTCCAGTTCTCATCACCGGAGCGAATCGATCGTTAAAGAAGCTTGAATATTGCAGCTGTTTCTGCCCCGGCTGACATCGCGAGTCTTCAGGTAACGGCATCTGTTTAGTCCTCCTCAGACTAAAGTGAAGGTGATGAGTAATCTTCTTAATTGATACATTGACGCTAAGCTGTGTTATATAACTGGCATGCCGTTATGCTTTGAATGTGGGCTATGATTTGACGTTTAAAACAGGAAAAGATGAAGACTTGTGTTTGTTTCTTTAAAAAGCTGTTGGCATTTAGGAAAACTGTGATCATTTTAGTTTTCCGCCTCATTGACTAGCTGAGTCATAATTGGCATCACCTGGAATTTTGTAATTATTTTCTTTACTATTCAAGCCAATTACTATGATATCTAAAAAAAAAATAGCTGAACTTAATATTTTACAGTGACATTAACATAATTGCTTCCTTTGTTACAGTGGAGAAAACAATGGAGGAACAGAAGCTGAAAGATCCTATTAATAAAGTGTCTCTTATCAAAGGTAAAAATCACATTACTGCACTTGAGCTTCTATAGTTGCTGAAGTGTTTTGAACCATACTATAGTGCTTTACTGTCCCATTAGGCAATCATTTATAGGATGTTAAACCTTGTTTTTTATATATATTTTTTATTTTGTTTACAGTATGTCAAAGTACTGTGGGTCTAAAATCGAGTTATTTTTTAGCAGAATTGGAGTTAGTGTCTGTGATGTATTTTTTTAAATATCGCATAAAAGATTTCTATAATGCATTTTTATTATTTTTTAACAAGGACAAAAGGACAGATAGAGATAAGTAAAAGGTATTCATATTTATTTTGTTCATTTCTGTAAAATATGTGTTTTATGTGGCTATAACTATATTTTTGCAGTGCACTTCAGTAGTTGAGTGCAAAGTAGTTTGTCAGAGTTTTGTTGTCATTAGCTGCAATGGAATGGTTTTGGCTGGAACGGTTTTCCAGGCTGTGCTAATACTTTAATCATGACAGAAATTTTGTCTGTCTGACTTTGTCTTCCTGTCTGTATGACTATCTTCCTCCTCCACAGACTCGAATATAAATTAGGCCAGAGTGTTCCTATGTGTCCTCGTACCCTGCTGAGAGATTGAGTTCTTGATGCAGAATGGCATCAATAAACATTACCCACCGCAATACCTCATGAAACGTTAATGCCTCCGTCCTCTCTGCTCTGGCAGTTGCGTTTGGCCTGCACAGGCTTCGGTATTTTAGCTTAGTCATGCAAGCGAGGCGTGTGAAGTTCAATTTTCTGGAATTACGTCTCTCTGATTGCAGTGATATGTCCTTGATATGGCCATTTATGGTATGCACCCTTGAGTTTGGAAGATGAGGTCATATCTTTCTGGAGCATTTGATAAGATGGCCTGGTTTTCAGCAACCCATATTTAGAGGAAGAGGAGCTGGTTTGTTTCTAAGTTTGGGCAATCTAAATTACAGCCAGTAAATGTACTGTAACTTTTACAGAGCAATGCATCAGTTGAAAATCTGAATTAATGTTTTTTTTATAGCAGTCTAAAGACTTTTCTGATTCTTTATGAAATGGCACTGTATAACATTAGAACATATAAAACTTTTAATCAAATGGCAGCTTTATTAAAACCCTAGCTATCCTTCTTGCAGATCCCAGTTTAAACCCTACTGATGACATTTGTTTTTAGGATAGATCTATTCTAAGTCAAGTTATTAATTCATGGAATAGGCCCATTTTCTGACCTCCAGGGAAATTACCATGTGATTCATTCTGATTTAATTAACCTTTGGAGACAGGGTTTGCACTTCGTCAGAGGGCAGAACAATCTGGCAAAGTTGAAATGCAACTCATTGATGCTGATACAGAGATAAAGACACAGATCACCCATTAACGGTTGACGAAAGAGTGATTCTCTGACAGCAGAGCGCCATAATAGTGTCTAATTATGCATGTAATAGTTCCCATTAGATGTCATCAGCGGTGGATGTGTAATCATTTCTCCAGATGAGCTGAGCAGGAGCACTGTGGAGGCCAGTGAGTCTGAGAAGGTCATCCAGCGCCTGAACCAAGAACTGCAGGAAGCCAATGAACAGGCCAACTCGGGCAAACACAAGTGTATTGAACTCCAAGGTAAAAGAGGGACTTTAAAGCAGCTCTATGTAGTTGTGTGCATCTTTGCAATGTTGAGGAGTGGAATTCACTGTTGTAAACACATCACTGTCGAATTCCAGTGGAAGGCTGTATTAGTGCATTTATTTCTGCCGTAAAGCAATCCACCCTTTTTGCGGAATTTCATACCCAATCGCCAAACTTACATACTCCAAGAACAGAGTTTTGAGGGGGGAGCTTGGGAAAGAAACAGAAGTGTACCATCAGAATGATTTTGAAACTTGTTTCAAGGTTAAAAAACAAAACAAAAAAACGTATATACAGTAGCTTTAACTGTACAGAAATGACTCTCATTTGAGTATGACTTTGAATTTTGTTTTGTACAATTATATATGAGACAAACTGATTCTAAATCAGTGCTCACCTTTGCCTGACTGACTATAATGTATATATTTTTATAAAATGCTTTATTACTTTGTTTATAATATATTAAATAATTATAAATTTATTAAATAATTATGAATATTACATAATCAACAAATATTACATAGTTAAAAAAACAATTAAATATTATTAGAATTATTTATTTGTTTTTGAATATTAGTTATTATATGCATATTTAAAGATGCTTGTGAACATTTTAAATTTATTTGGAATGGCAGTCATGCTCAACAGGTCCCCCTAATGACCTGTGCTGTATATTACAGGTCTATTGGAGGAGGAGAAAAGAGCCAATAAGCAGCAGGCGGAGGAGTCAGCAAAACAGATAAAGGTCTTACAGAGTAAGTCAAGGAGCACGTGTATGTCTTAAATTAAGTTATATTTACTAAACAATGTATCATACCAATTGGTCTTTGCGTCTACATGTGCATTCAGCTCAGCTCCAGAAGCTGCAGGAAGATAAGGAGAATCTCAGGGATCAGAAGGACAGCTCAATCTTCAGCTTGCGACAGGAAGCGCACACAGCTCAGGAGGAAGTGCAGGTGTTGCGCCGCACTATGGAGAAAACTGCAGCCGAGCGAGAGCATGAGGTCAGCGCACTGAAAGGGAACCTAGCAACGCTAACTTCCGAGCTGGAGAAATGGCAGTTGGCTGCAAACAAGTATGAGCGTGAGCTCGACAGTGTACAGGCCAGTCACCAGCAGCAGAACCAGCAGAGAGACAGAGCTGCCAAGCAGCAAGGTACCCACAACCCCACAGACCTCTATCATTGCAGATGATTGGCCTAAAGCATTTTAAGCCTGCGTCTTAAAACTGCTTTCTTTAAATAGTAAAAGTCATGTAAGGACATCAGCATTACATATTGTGTATACTTAAATGCAAATTCATCTATATTTATATTTCACATTAATAAGAATATTGGATTTGATAATGATAATATTAATTAATAATAATCTTAATACACTTCATGCACTTAATAACAATAATCATCATATCATCACTTAATGCACTTAATAACAATCATCATCATCATCATAGTATGTATTATTAGTAGTAGTAGTAATAATAATAACTATACATTACAAGTACTATAAGAGTATAATATGAGTTATCAAATTTGCATGACCACATTTTCTGAGCCTCTTATAATAATGATGAAAATAATAATAATAACAACTATACATTACAAATTAAAAACAATACCTCTAATAAAAAATACTAAATATAATCATCATCAACTTGGCATTAACACATCACAATTTTCTGAGCATCTAATAATAATAATGCGAACATTATTGTACAATGTTGAAAGTATTCATTTAATCAGGATACAAAAATGTAACCTGTTCCCTTTAAAAATAAATGCAATTTCAAGATTAAGATTTTAATGGAACAAATGAATAAAAATAAATAATTAAATGACTGTAACCTCATCGGACAAAAATTCTGTATTTTTTCCCAATTAAATTAAAGCTGTTTTATGTCTTCTGCACATTCATAATCTCTTTGGGGAATTTGTCCTCCCTTCTCAGAAACCTGATGAATGATATAATGTGTTTGTGGAGGTTACAATCAAGCCCTAGGTTCATCCAACAACAGTCAGTTGCAGTAATCCGACAGATATTCAGAAGATGACTCACATTTCTCACATCACTTCCACCGTTATGTAACAGAGTAGCGTTGTGAGTCTGTGTGTGTGCACATGTGCTATATCTGTGCGTTTGTGTGCATGTCTTTGTGTATGTATTTAATTGTGTGTGTGTGTGTGATGCAGCGAGCGAGCTGGAGCGGCTGCAGAAGGACTGTGAGAGCCTGAGGAGGGAGTGTGCGTCTCTGAGGTCAGAGAGAGAGCAGCTGGCTGATAAACAGCAGAAAGAGAAGATCAGCCTGCAGAATGAGAGCAGCACCCTGCGCTCAGAGAAAGAACAGCTACAGAAGAAACAGCAGCAGCTGGAGAAAGAGTTGGAAAGGTCTGTTCTATGACCGCATATACAGTTCATTCATATACAGTTACTTTGAAGGTGAAGTGTGTCATGTCCATGCCACTAAAAGCACCAAATATAATTGCTGACTGCCTTAAAATGGACTGTTCATACAGATTCCCACACTAAACACATGCTATTAGTTGAGTCAGTGTTGCCATGTTAGACATGTTCAAAGACCCCAATTTTTGTAGAGCCACATTTAAACTTCTTAGGAAGTTAAAGGGATAGTTCACCCAAAAATTATAATTCTGTCTTTATTTACTCACCCGCAGGTTTTTGTGACCCTACAAAAGTAGCGGCATGTTTAATGTCTTTAACCCCATGATTTTGGTGCTTTGATATTTTTGTTGTTGTTTGTTTTTTTTTACATTTATATTTTTTAAATTAAAAAAATAATAATAATTTAAATCTATTTTTTTGTTGCATGGAGAAAAATAACACAGGTTGAGGATGAGTGAGGAATGTCAGAATATTCATTTTTGGGTGAATTATTTGTATAGGCTTACTTATCGTCAGATATTAAAATGGGATTGGAGAAAGTAGTTAAACATGTAAAAAATGACACTTCACTATGGCTGGGTTGACCATATAGTTTTTTCTATTTTAAAGAGATAGTTGACTCAAATTAAAATTCTGTCATTAATTACTCACCCTCATGTCATTCCAAACCGGTTAGACCTTCGTTCATCTTCGGAACACAAATTAAGATATTTTTGATGAAATTTGAGAGCTTTCTGACCCTGCATTGACAATGCAACTACCACATTCAATCGCATCGTTAACGCGCGTCGAAGACTGGTGCAGAAGAGAAGAAATCGAGTAAAGTTGTAATTTTTGTTTTCTTTGTGCACAAAAGGTATTCTCTTAGCTTCATAAAATTAAGGTTGAACCTAGGGATGTTCATTTTAACCGGTTAACCGTAAACCGACCATAAGAATTTGACCAAATAATACAATCAGTTAAATGGTTTAAAAAGTCATTTATTTAATTTTTTTCAGTAATTTATCAAAATATTTAAAAAGGTTTGCTGCATGGTTAAAATACGCTACGTGTATGTGTATATATGTATATGTATATGTATATGTATATATATATATATATATATATATATATATGTATGTGTACGGTATATATATTAAAAAAAAACGTTTTTTAGAAGAAAAAAATGCAAGTCGAGTATAAGTCGCATTTTATTATTTCTTTCAGAAATAGGTCTAATGCGGATGCGAAATGTTTACAAACATTTTAATAAACACTGTAAACATAGCTAGGCTATTTTAGTTCCCCTCACTCCATGACAAATCATTTCAATTAACAGTATTTAACGAGAATTAAAAATATAAGAAGCTATAGCAATATAAACGACAAGTCAAAACTAATTCATTTAGGCTAAAACGAAACTGAAACCAACGTTGGGGCTCTCATTTGACACCAAATCAAATGTTTCCGTATTCGCGATGTATTTGAATGCCAAAATATTATTTATTATGTAGCCTACTTCACTGGCGTTCCAATATCCACGTAAAACAAAATGTTTTGCATAACATCACGGCGGTACGGTGATAACGCTTAACGGCACAGATTTTACTACATATTTGAACTGCGCAGTATGTTTTTTCCATATGTTTGACTGACTGTATTTTATTATGATAATGAACAGGCTGCATTGTCAAGGCAGCAAAGCTTAACTGTGTGCACGCATGCGGCGCCGGCGCAATCACTCGAAATTGTTTTCTAACAGTGGAACCAGTACTCCTTTTAGTCATAAAGATAATCAGAATTGTAAAAGGTTTGCCTTTATTTGTGTACATTCACAATAAAAACAACTCTTTGTGCTTTTGTAAAATAAGCAAGCCTAAAGAAAAATAGGATGCCGCTTTCTGCCGTCTGGTTTCCTTTCACGCAGCACAAAAATGAAGCGAAACTCTGCATACTAGGCTAAGAAGGGTATATATATAGCCTAGTTTTATGATGCATACTAGGCTATATATATATAGCCTAGTTTTATGATGTTTTTCTCTGCTCGCAGGTGCGTGATGTGATATGATGACCATGTGAATCCTCATGTTCTGTTGTTTGCTGCTTTTTGCGCATGTAAAATTAATCCCCAGGAAACAAATGTTAGTATTTTTAACGGTTCACAGACACTTATCCTTTCTAATTGAATTCAATTCTAACTTAAAATAATCTTGTCGGTTAATGGTTAGTAATCGGTTAACGAGCGTCGGTTGTCGGTTAGGAAAAATAACCGAAATTAACATCCCTAGCTGAACCACTGATATCACATGGACGATTTTAACGATGTCCTTACTACCTTTCTGGGCCTTGAACGTGGTAGTTCCATTGCTCTCTATGCAGGGTCTGAGAGCTCTCAGATTTCATTAAAAATATCTTCATTTTTGTTCTGAAGATGAACAAAGGTCTTAGGGTTTGGAACGACATGAAGGTGAGTAATTAATTGCATAATTTTCATTTAGGGATGAACTATCCCTTTAATCTATTCTCATTTTGATGAACCAATCATTCTTTTAGTTTAAGCTGCCTCCCATCCAATATTCTCAATAAGCTTTGTACTTTGTTACTTTTAATATGAAACAAAGTTCAGCTCTTAATCTTTGTCAACTGTACCACAAAAATTAAATGTTGTTTTGATGCTCTTTAATGTGGTGTGATAGGTCATAGATTGATATTATAGTAAACTGACAGAAATCCCTGTATAGTTTACAGCTTTAGTTGAGAGAAGTCTCTTTTTTTTTTATCCCTTTGATATCAAATTGAACCAAATCAAAATATATGAAGAACTTGCGATTTCAGGATTTAATCGTATTGTGAAATATGTATCAATACCCAGCCCTACACTTCACCTTTAAATAGGAGAAAAGCTCTTTTTGCAGACTTGTGATGTAATCTCTCTGGAATCTGAACCTGCATCCTGCCCACAGCTCCAAGAAACAGAACACAAGCCTGAGCAACACGGTCAAGACTTTGGAGAAAACGCAGGCAGACCTGGAGAAACGGCTGAGTGTCCTGCAGGAGGAACACCAGAGAGCCACCAGCCAGCTGGAGCAAAGCAATAGCAGGATCAAAGAACTGCAGAAAGAGGTTATTCCCATCGTAGTTGAGAGAAAGAAAGTAGAGCTGAGACTCATTAGCAGGCATGTCACAAAAGAGCTCTGCTCCTAAAAAAAAAAAAAGACCTGGCCCCTGGACACACACACTGTGTGTGTGTGTGTGTGTGTGTGTGTGTTATTGACTAGGCTCATTGCTGAAAGATTCTGAAAGATTCCTACTCTCTTTCTCTTTTTTTGCTCTCAGTATGAAGAGATCCAGGCAGAGCTGTCAGGCCTCAGGGAGAAGTATGAGAATGCAGAGGAGGAGAAACGCTCCTTCAATCTGAAGCTGCAGCAGAGCCAAGAGCGCCTGAGGCTTCTGCAGGACAAAGAAAACCATGTGAGTGTTCAATCCACGTAATGCTGATGTTTAACAACAGGGGCACTGACAATTGGGACAGTTCAAGTGGAAAGAGCGCATATTGCATTGTTTAGTCCTTGAAATCAGCACTGAAAAACATAGCGTAATTTGTTTGACAATGTACTTCTTATAGTTTAAAGATTTTATATAGCCTAAAGGTGAAGTATGTAATTTCTGCGGCTAACAACGACACCAAACGGAATTTCACACTGTTTCCAAACAGGTTTCCCCAAATACTTCTACAAGAATTGACATAAAGAGAAAATAAAACATGCATGCAAGGTTTTTCCCACAATTCCATGTGACAACATAAAATACATGTGGATGTTTAATATTTAATTTAAATTTTTTTTAATTTAATTAAATTTTGCATCCATTCTCCAAACTGCTTGTCCTGTATTAGGTTATTTTATTATTTTTTTTTTTCATTTTTTAAAAAGCAAGTTATTCTTGTAATGTTTTAATTCTAGTTAAATTATTAATATATTTGTATAAAATAATTTTAAAAAATCAAAAAACATAATAAAAGCTACAAAGAATTCCAAACTCACAGCTGTAGTTGAGCCAAACAAACATCTGCGTTGTCTCTGCACATTGAACTGGAAAAGGGGAAGAGTTTTAACTAGTAAACAGTTACACACTTCACCTTTTGATTTCCTTATCTTAATGTTAAATTCACCAGTCCAATAATAGCGCACAGAAACATAAGCCACTCATTCAGTAATATCCCTCCCTTCCCTCCTTTAGCTGTCTTTATTGCAGCCCATCCTAGCCGTAGCCATCGGCCTTGTCCTGGCTTTGCTGTATTGGTGCTTGGGCCCATTGTGGTAGAAAGGTACACAGTGCTCCTGTCCCGTCTCATTCCTCTGCTTAAGCCTCCATCATCCTCAGGGCTATGCATGACCACTAAACAATTCTCTCAGCTTAAGCTACCAAATACTGTCCGCTCGTCTGCAAAATGCTTCTCTTTCCCTACTACAGGTCCACTTTGTATTATAAGATGCACACTAACAAGTGTCTCTAACAAATCAACTCCATTTTGTAGGTTGTAGTTTTCCAGCGTAGCTCTGAGGCATCCTGGCTCTCTTTGTCCTCCACTGTACGTCTTCTGTTGTCCTCGTCTTGTGTGTCCTGACCTCAGTTTCTCCGCGTCCCGTCCTTGTGGCTTTTGTGTCCCCGTCTCGGCTCATGTGCATCCCTGATTGTAAACATGTTCTGATGGGTGATGCGGTACTACAGATGATGTGATCTGTATGTTTGTTCTTGCAGGGAAAGTGGATCAGGTGGATGCCTGTCGCTGCTGTGACCGTTGCCGTGACGGGGTATTTGCTTTCAAAGACCTCAAAATGAACAACGTGATGAACCAGTAACAAGCACATTCACCATGACATGCATACCTAGTAAATGTTTCTCAAACGTGTTGACATTTGTATCCTTTTAGTCTGTGTGGTGTTAGTTTGAGTAACGAGTGTTTAAATGCAACTTCTTACTCAAGTATCGAAGGCCTTAGAATAATAACATGTCACAAGGTTCCCTTATTTGCACCATATATAATTTTCTTTTTAAATTGCCGGTTCTGTATGCATTGCTTTTTGAAGTATCTGGCTAATAACAGGTATTTTATTGAACACTGTTGCTTTGCCAAACAAATAATTAGTGAATTGCCTTATATAACATGACCTGAGATAAACAAACGTTTATACCTCCCTGAATGAACACTTCCGTGAGAAATGATTCAGAATTGTAATAACATATTCAAGACCATTGAGATCCATTAAGTTTTAACTCGATCATATGTTTTGTGGCTTAAAGGCCTAAATCTGCCATATAATGTGTATGTGTCTTTGCACCTTATACGAAGCCATTAGTGATTAGTCTATGCACTGTACTTTACTGTGGTAAGGATTTGACATATTATTAATGATGATGATGATGATGATAAGCACTGTTTTTTTTAGGACATTAGAGCGCTAATGTGTCCGAAAGAGACCTATAATATAGTGTTTATGATTTATTATGTTTATTACTTGTACAGAGAAAAACTACCCGATCTAACAGATATGATAATTGCAATAAATAAGCAAAAGTGAAGTTCAACCCTATTAAGTCCCCGTTTAATCTGTATACATTTATTTATGCATATTGGCTGAATTTAATTTTAATAACTTTACAATAGTGTCAGTTTGTTGAGGTTTGGTACCATTAACTAATATATGCAGTAAAAAATAGCTTATTGCTAATTCAGATTAATATTAATTTATTCATTTTTTAATTCATGTTACACTTTTAAAAATAAAAGTGCTTCACAATGCCATAGAAGAACCTTTTTGTCTAAATGGTTCCATAAAGAACCTTTAACATCTGAAGAACCTTTCTGTTTCACTTAAAAAGGTAAGAAAGAGATGGTTCTTTAAAGAACCTTTGACTAAATGGTTCTTTGCGGAACCAAAAATGGTTCTTCTATGGCAATGCTTGAAGAACCTTTTGAAGCACAAAATTATTTTTAAGAGAGTAGTTTATATTACAACAGAAGAAGCTATTATATTGTGTCAGTCTGAGTTTTCAGTCTGTATTGCATGTAATCCAATAACGACCATTATTTGTTTTCTGTTATTTCATGGTATGTGGCATCTTTATAGCAAGAAATATATTTTCCTCATTTGGCCTCGCAATATACAATTTGACCATTGTAGTTTGATTCACATCGTCTCTTATGAGCCGGTTCTTTTTAGTGAATCAAAAACATGCAGTGTGACCAGGGTTGCCAGGTCTGCGAAACAAACAGCCCAATTGCTAGTGAAAACGATCACAATTGCATTTTTTTCTAAGTTTTTCCCCTCTGTTGTGGCTCCTCTACTTTGAAATGGCAAGATAGCGAGATAGCTTTAAACCGTGGACTTAAAAAAACCAAACAAAAAAAAAACCTGCATGAAAACCGCAGACTTGGCAGCACTGAGTGTGACTAGTGTTAGTCTTGGTTTTTACAACAAATGACTGATGAACCGGTTCTTTCTAGTGAATCAAAAACCGAGCACAGCAAATGTTAGTCTGAGTCTTGAGACAAAAGTGAGCTGGTTCTTTTCAGTGAGTCAAAAACCTTACAAGTGGTCAGTGTAGTCTGATTGCAGAAATGAGTAACTCAGGCAGTTCTTTTAATACTGCCTTACACTTCTTACTGTAAGAAGACTATGTAAGCAAAGTGGACATGTATAACTGAAATGAATCCGAATCAAATCAATCTGGAAAATTGATACCAAGCCCTATAATAACCTTGCAGAGTATTAAGATTTACAATATACACTAATTAAAACAAAAACCAATTCTGGGCACCTAAATGCACCCCTGCAAATCGATGGCCCCATAACCAAGTTTGTCATAAATCTGCAGCCAAAGGCACACGCTTCCATGGTGTAATGCAGTCCGCCCCAATGAGTCATCCCTCCTCGACACCGCATGGGAAATATGAGGACGTGCCCCGATCAAAAGAGCTCTGGCAATAATACGCTCAGTTTATTCTGGAGTAAATGAAGAGTAACGTCACCAGCGATAAGGTTATCAGCAACAGTGATGTCAGACCTTCATCTGGCTGCAGGTGGGAATTAGCTGAATTCCCCAGGCCTGAGGATCCTGTTTCTGACCCCGTCTTCCTAGTAAATACATTCTTCAAGCACTGATGTAACTAGAATCTGTTTTTATTATTCCTTTGCACGATGTGGGGTTGCGGCATGATGACACGGTTCATGTCAGAGTAAAAACAGCTCTCAGAGGCGCTGTATAATCATAATTATGGGCCAGAATTGGGGGGTATAGGGCACTCCCACCACCAGCGAAGCTACATGAAAGCTTCATGCTTCACGGCTCTCAGATTGCAGTTCTCAGTTTGGTATAAAAGGTTTTGGACTCCACACTGATCAGAGAGAACGATGGGTGACTTTAAAGGTAGTGTTACTGCAGCTGCAATCAACCTGGCAGATGATGCACCGTGGAAAAAGATACAGAAGAACACCTTCACACGCTGGTGCAACGAACACCTGAAGTCTGTGGAGCTGCAGATCGGCGATCTTAAGTTCGATCTGAGCGATGGCCTCATCCTTATCTCGCTGCTGGAGGTCCTGAGCCATAAAAGGATGTTTAGAAAGTACCACACGCGACCAACCTTCAGACAGCTCAAGCTAGACAATGTTTCGGTGGCTCTGGAGTTTTTGGATCATGAAAAAGTTAAGTTGGTGTCTATAGGTGAGTTACAACATGCCTGAACTCATTCAAAAGAAGGTGTTCACAACAATCTATTAGTAGTTTTCTCAAGTCATTTTAAACCCATATGTACAATATTTTAAGGATATAGTTTCTGAATGGTTTTGAAGTTCACAATGAAGCAATCTGCTGTTTTAAAGTCAGGTGTTCAAAAATATGTACAGATCCGGACCAAATATATCAGGAGAATAATAGATGAGTTGGAGAGAATAGTGAAAGTCATGAATGTTTTCAAAATCTTTTATTTAAATTTTTGTAAGCAGTAACATCACAGAGACTGCCATGATTTTTTAATTTTATTTAGTACATATGGAGTATGTCAAAGCACCTACTGCGTGAATAAACAGGGCTAACTTGCTAATCCATGTTCATACTCCCCTTAAATTAAAAGCATGTAATTAGAATGAACAACCCATAATTCACCTTTAATAATACTAATTAGACAAAATAGCAAGTATAATTGTCTGTATGCTGTTAACAATGTTTCTGGCTTACAGCAACTGAGGCTATTACACCATATAGGTGAACATCAGGTTTCAATTTGGTTATAGTAATTTAGCTTTAAACATTCACTTTACATTGTTTAATTTCCATTTACAATTATGAGGTGATTGGCAGGGTTGTTATTGTTAACTATAACTATTAAAATTGTCTTTTGTTAATTGAAATTAAGCTGAAATAAAATATAAATGTAAATAGGAGACAGAAAAACTCAGAAATTAGAAATGTTTGCTTGGCAACTAACTAAAATTAAGTTGAAGTTGAAGTACCAAAATGACGTAAAAATAACGCTAAATATAAATATTTAAAAAATAAACAAAGAAATGTCCAAATTAATAAGATAAACTAAAATGGAAAAAGATTGAAAATATAAAAATAAGATAATTCAAAATATTAACTATGTAAATAATATAACACTGGTGATTAGCATCTTTATTGTATCTACGTATATGACTAATAGTTAAATGTATCTCTTAATGAAGGTCAGCTGCAATGTCAATAAGTTGGGCCTGTTGTCTGAAAAGCATTAGCATGTCTTCAGAAAGACATTATCAGATGTTGAATTGCGGGTCCCACATGTTTTTCATATAAATTCCTTTGGCCCTTTCCCTAATTAGGGAGGGTAGTCTTTGGGTCAAAGTGTCCTAGTGTCAAATTGGGAACGGCACTTTAGTCGATTAGCTGTTTCCTGGACTAGAACAATGTTCCCAGCTGAACTCTCTTGTTTGGATGTAATGGCTAAACGACAAAAAGCATTTGGTGTATTTAAATAAATACAATTTATGTCGCCAAGTGAAGGTATCTAACAGAACAAACAGACACACCTTCACTGTCTCCATACAGACAGTAAGGCCATAGTGGATGGGAACTTGAAGCTGATCCTGGGTCTAGTGTGGACCCTGATACAGCATTACTCCATCTCCACCCCGATGTGGGAGGATGAGGCAAACGATTCTGTCTCCAAACTGACTCCAGAGATGAGGCTTCTGGGATGGATCCAAAACAAAGTCCCTGAGCTGCCCATAACTAACTTCAGCCAGGACTGGCAGGATGGCAAGGCCCTCGGTGCATTAGTGGATGGACTGGCACCAGGTAAACCAAGTTTTTTTTATATAGTGCTCTTATATAGTATTCTTATATAGTAAACTCCCCGTGGTCATGTGATTTCTTTCTTTTTGGATGTGTTGGGGGGGAAAAAAGTTTTTTTGTCTTCTGAAATGGTTGTTCTGGTTTGTGCAGGCTTGTGTCCTGACTGGGAAAGCTGGGACACGGTGCACCGGGTGAGTAACACTAAAGAAGCCATGCAGCAAGCAGATGATTGGCTTGGAATTCCACAGGTGAGAGCAAGCAGAATAGACTGGCTAGTTATTTTACTTGCATTTTGACAACATTCTAAGTGATTGATTTGCTCAAATCAATTTGTGAATCTTTTTTTTATATTTAACTTTATCAAGCTCATAGCCCCAGAGGAGATTCTTGATCCAGCTGTGGATGAGCAGTCAGTGATGACATACCTCTCACTTTTCCCCAAAGCCAGACTGAAACCTGGAGCTCCACTCAAGCCAAAGAAAGGTTGGGCCCATTATAAGCCCC